ACTAGAGGTCCACCCCGAGCGACCAACACATCACGCCATAGCCGACGCACACAAAAGCATCCCTCACACCAGTTTCAGCTCACTTCCACTCTTCCAAACAGAGCACGGAATAATGTCCTTCGGTCCTTCCCTGACGCTTTTGTGGAGGTCTGGAACCAGCTCCCGCAGTGCGTTCTGCTGAACCAGCCAACAAGGAAAGGACTGCAGACGTTCAAAGAAAAGGTCGACGCCCACCTCCGCCTTACCCGCTGGGAGTGGGCAACGGACAGGCTATGAATCAAAGAAAAAAGACGAAAAAAAGCTCTAACTCTGTTCCCTCCTCCATTCACTTCGTTGACTCTCTGATAACTTTTTTATTGTGCATACTTTTCCCCGTAATCCCCAGTTACCTATGTCTCATCGCTGCCTTGCTGCTTTGTGCCATCAAATGGTGTGTGTTTTTTTGTAAAGAAAAAAAGAGGAGGCCCCCATATGAGTGGTTTGCGAGACTCTGTGAACAGGTTTACTAGCATCCTAACCTGGCCGGGTTGTGTCAACTAATTACTTGGTTGGATGGCGAGCATTCCAACATCGCTTCAACCCATTGCGTTGCTTCCTCTTGTGGTAGGTGTAATATTAATAGGGAGGTTTAGTTCCCACGTAACGGAAACGCGTACGTGGGTGATCCACGTAAAGTGGATGAAGGGCACCCACGTTGCAATGTTGTGTTTAGTCACACGGAACAAACAAAAGCATGAAGCGAAAGGCCAAAACCTGGTCAAAGACGAAGCTACCCCGGCCTAAGAAGCTCATCCAATATTTTGATTTCGTGCTTCGGAAATTTCTTCAGCTGAGCACCTTCACAGCTCGCAAAATGCGCTCCATTCTGATTTTCACCCACGTTCTGGCGGAACGTGGGTGAGCCTCCATACACGGTATGTCGTGAATCAGAAAACGTCTGTACGTGGGTCACTGAGTATCACGTGGTGCACCCACGTAAAGTACCCACGTATTACGTGGGGCTAAACCTCTTCACTGGGCAGGACTACATTCTCCAGTCCGATGAGATGCACGTAGACAGTAACCCTGTGACACACACCTGCATCGTCGTAGCACGTCTCAAAACAAAAGACCTAAATACGCTATCGTACAGTCCTGGCAGGCAGGCCTTGATAGGACGGCAAAGACATCTTGAGTCGGATTACCGGATGGTGCCAGTGCTCATCTTTCGCCCAATCCTGGCTGTAAATACTGGAAAATGGAATTTTAGGAAGAATTGGTTTCCTAATGATGTATCGCTGTGGCTAATCGGGGTTCTATGTCCTAACACCGGCTGCAGATGGGCGGAAGAATAACGGGTCCCAGACTGTTTTGCTTGTTGTTGTTGTTGTTTTTATTCTAGAGCCACGTAAACCCGTCATGTGTGAGCCATGATTAAGGGGAGTGGTGGCGTGGTCTGGGATGCTCTGCCGACCGGCCTTGGGTCTCGGCTTCATCACAACCACTTAACCTCTTCATCTCCACCAGCAAATGGCGACTGTTGGTTGGAGCACACTATTTCGAAGAAAGTTTTGCAACTCAACAATGGAAAGTTTCGAAGCCGTCTGAGTCTCCAACAATCTCTCACCGAGCAGTGCCTATTACAATCACTACAATGATGCTTTCTCAGCAATTCATCCGAGACCTATCTACAATCACCTGAAATTCAACACTTTTACCACATGTGGCTTGTGAGAGCCTTCTGTTACTCTGTTTCGGCGTTATAATATGTAACACGAGGTTTTCTCAATACATGTACTGTTTATCTCAGTACTAGTAGTGACCTCACCGTTGTCCGACTACGAAAGTTTATTCTGGCCACTGGATAATGAAAAATCATGATTGTAGTGCTATTGACCTCTGCGATAACAAGCCATAGCAATGTTGACAAGCCTTTGGCGCCGTGTTGTGTACATGTACATGTACATCCTATCCAGGCATGTCGCCGCCAATTCTTCACCACATCGCTATCACGTGATAAAATCATGTACCTCTTTACATACACAAAAAGAACATTAATTTAAAGTGGCTGTCATGATAGCAGCCCTAGCCGGCCTAGGGCCTAGGATTAATACTAGCGTGTAGACTATGACCAAAGGATGCGCAAACTAACAACAGCCTTGGAAGGTTCTAAGTTATGAAAATAATAACACGAGAATGGCTACACAATATCTTGCTTGAAGCTACAAGCACTAGTGTTGGACAGAATCTACGGATAACATCTAATATTTTGGTCCTTTCCCCCCCCCCCCTAAATTTTATCCTTGGCTCTCCACCCGAGTCTCTTTGTTCGTGCATTTTATACGTTGGGTACAGCGCCAAATTGGGGTTGTCTCCCCCCCCCCTCCCCCTGCACAACCATTCTGTAATAATAATAATTATACTCACAGGCAGCAATAGATAGGCTGGAGCGTTAAGGAACAGACAGAGTTCTGCAGAGGTCGTGTAACGCAGGATTGTACAGATTCAGCGCTAGCTAGCCATACACCATACACCATACACCATACACCATACACCGTACACCATACACCATACACCACACACCACACACCACACACCACACACCACACACCACACACCACACACCATACACCATACACCATACACCATACACCATACACCATACACCATACACCATACACCATACACCATACGTTTAGCTCCCTCGATATTAGACTGTTGTCACAGGCATGTTAGCTCCCTCCCTCCATTTTAGCTCACTCTCTTCCTGTTGAGGTTGCGCTTGCCTTCATTTCCCTCCATTGTACAGATTCAATGTCCGTGTGGTTTGTACCTTAGCACCACTGGACAGTACCTACTTTTTGTGCTAAATGCTGCACGTTCCGACTCCCATCATCACCTTCTTACCGACTACAGGTTGCTTCTATTCCCAAGTCTAATAAACATCTAGGCACAAGCCCAGCAGAGCCTGCTGTCACGGTGTGCCAATGTACTTGGAGTGTCTCGGTCTGGATTGGTACCGCTGGATTATACCCGTCAATTCTGTGTAGCGCGTTGGTCTAAATGTCTCGCAAAACGCATCACATTGCAACCTGCCTTACACTGTTACAGCACTGTCACTGTCACTGTTAGCCAGTAGAGGCATTGGTCCCGATACACCGACGTACACCGATAGCAAGTACAGTAAAACCTGGCATGGCGACCACTCGGAGAAGGCGACCACCTGTCCTAGAAGACCACTGAAACCAGCACCAAGGGATGCTATTTCCACTAAAAAGACCCTGGATAAGGAGACCACCGGCACCTGGTAACAGAGACCACTTTTTGAACATCCCTTGAGTGGTCGTCTCAGACAGGTTTCGGTGTACATTCGAATATTCTTGCGTGTAAAACAAGTTTTGGCCATCACGTATTATCTACCCAGGCCAAGAGCCAAAACAGAGTTGCAGAGTTTTCACCTAGTCCTTAGTTTTCACCTGCTGAAGTATAACTATGACTGTACAATCATGTACTTGGTGTCTTGAGGATAGCAGTCCGAGTGCATCAGGGTAATTTGACTAAGGACAGCAGCTGTAATCTGGTCGGTCACTGTCGGCGGTTTCTTAGAAACTCACGGTGAGTATTTCCCAAAGTAGGACTATTTTGAATGAAGCTGGTCTTATCCTAGCTGAGTTAGCGTGAATATGGTCAATCTAGAAATGTGTTTTACCGTCATAAGAGACGATAATATTAATTATCCGATGCGTGGCCGACCTCCTCAAATGGATCAGGTTGTGAATTTGAAATTTGGTCCCGATTTACAATTGGAGAGCTACACCACCCTCGACCTATGCCGATGCCGAAATTTAATCATCAATCTCGGAGACTTCAGTAGTGCAGCGCGGAAATTTGATGATGTCGCAGAAGAGAATTTCGGGCATGCACTGGGCAGACTTCGATTCGCTTTCGCTGCAGATCTGGAGATAACCGTCATCGATTGTCCTAGCCATTGGACCACTGAAGTTGTGAGTAAGCTCTTTTTCTGGCGAAGCCTGCTGTTTGGCATGGAAGGTGTGCGATCATATAATATACAGTCTGTAGTTGTTAACATAGTATGCGCATCATCATGGCAGACGCTCACATCCAGCCATCTGTACCAGTCGTGTTTACTGCATTGTATTGCTGGTATGTACAGCACATTTCAAGCTCGCCAGTTTCTTTATCGCGTGTACGGTACGGCGCGGGGACCGAGGAATTAACAGTCAGAGGTAGGCTCCACCCACGCCCAAATCGTGTACAACTTCGCTTAAATTTCAAGTTCAAATGCATACACGATTGCTTAGAATCACTAATGGAAGTACCACTTCAATACATCAGAAAGTTGTTCGTTTATCTCATAGCATATTTGGCAGACAAGCTAAACGATTGGCCTTGGTCTAAATACTTTCCGATTGACGTTACCGGCTGTGAGCTATGCACACGGTTGGTGGTTTCTGCCCGCATATTTTGCCTCAATATTCTCGCTACCTTTCAATCCTTTACGTCCTGCTATATATCCAAAGAGAATGGCCTTTGCCGTTGTTCATCTTTGTGTAATAGCAATTCGGAGGAGTACAGAGCACATCTATCTATATTTTCCTCTGGATTCTACACGTATTCTGGCTCAGATAACGAACCTGTAGAATCTCGGGAGGCAAACAATGTTACCACATATCTTTCACCTAAACCATGAACGCAGTTTTATGAACAAAAACACCTTCCTTTCATCCCAAGTAGCTTCATCTATTATTAATGCGATTGATTTAATAACCGCAATCAATGAGACAAGCCGAATCGACATTGGTGTATACTTTATTCATGCAATGTAAAACGGTGGAGAGTGCACATTGTCTCCACCGTTTCACATTGCATGAATAAAGTATACACAAATGTCGATTCAGCTTGTCTTATTGATCGCGGTGTTTAAAATTATTGTCTCCTCCCCGTTTGTTATTGATTCACTTGTACATGACGTACTTTTTACAGTAGAAGAATTCTTCACATTCATTTTTCCAATTGTTTTTCATTTTCTTACGTTGCGTTATACAGCTAGTGCTAAGTTTTGAAAATAGTTGCAGTTTCTGATATCTGGCTGGTCCATATGCACGCACAGGACGAGCGTATCATTATAGCAGCAGATTATAGGCTGGAGCGCTGTGGATCAGACAGATCTATGCAAGGGGCATGTGGAGCCAAAGTTGCGTGTACAGGCTCAACGGCAGCGTAGGTTTGCGTTGTGTTCGGCTGGTTTATATTACATTTTTAGACTTGCAGAAAACTAATAAACTGCAGCACTCCACACAGGCTGTGGAAGTCACAGCGGAAGCCGTGGAAGCATGGGAATTAGGAATCATGATTTAATTAAATACAGGCAAAGGCATTCAAGTGCACGATCATGTACATGTACATGATTGTATGGACTAAAATAGCATAAAAATAATAACAACTCAACTCTGAGGATGGAAGCCATAGTGTTACCATGGAGACATGCTGAAATCAAACATCTCAAATTCTGCCTGGCATGGGAATGGGAGTAGAAAATTAAAAAAAATACTTCGAAGTCACGTCACGAAAATCACGATTTTTTCTTCTTTTTCTCCGATGACTTCGTACACTCAGAGCCAGGCACAAGTCACATCAAAAAATAAAACCCGGCCAAAATGTGGCATAAACCTAGCCAAATTGTGAAATTTTGTTTAGGAAATGTCCAGAGGGTCAGGGTGAGGTGATGAGGGCTGGCAAAGACGGATGCCTAGTGCACTAGGGTAAAGGTCGTACAATCTAAAAGCGTTCACGCTTCGTGTGAAACTAGGCTAGAGGCCGAGTTTCCGCATCCGTAGGAACGCCGTCATCCCTCAAGGATCACGGCGCAGATGCAGCTCCTAAAGCGCGGTGAGATGGGAGTAGATAAGACGCACCACAAACTGGTTTGGTGCGTCTGATATAATCCAAACAGGAAGCATAAAACAAAACGTGCCAGCTTGCAGCCATGATGAATTTCATTAGTACTAGTAGCCACGACGAGGCGAACGTGATGCATCTGCTACGCACGTGTTCACACTATTGTCTGGTTACTGTGAGCGCATGGCGGCGCGAGTGATGGTAGAGCTTATGCCACCCTCCTCGGTGTTGTTACTGTAGCTTGAATGGCTCGTGACCATTGGCGGCAGGGTGGCATTGGGAAAGAAACGCTTGAGCTCGCGGGATAAGCTCTCGGCAACGACCTGCGGGGAGTCAGACTCTCGCAACGGTACGGGCACTATGTAGTATCCCTTGTGGATGAGTGCGAGTAAGGCCAAGCGTAGTGATGACGGCACCGCTATGTGTAGACTTGGCATGTTCTGTATATATACACACAGATAACCACACATACACCCACCCATATACGCATACATACACATACATACATACAGACATGTGTACACATGTACACCCACCAGACCCAGACAGATTCTGCTCCGCTCGCCTCGATATTTTGCCGCAAAATGTTGCTGCTAATCTTCGATATTTTTCCGAGCCTGGCAAAAGAAAATCGATATTTTGCTCCGGAAAAACGTGTATTTTATGCACTTCCCGTACGTTTCATAAAATCGTGAGGTCGGTTTCTCAACACGGGTTTCCACGCATGTGTCCCTGGGTTCTTCCAAAATCATATTAATCCACACTGAATCCCAGTGATACTTTGGTGATATGATCTCGTCCTTGCCGGCAGCGTATCAGGCTAAACGGGTAAGAAACAGTAGGACATCCAAGTATCAGGCATCGATTTTACCCAACATCTCGACATTTTGCTCCGATTTAGCCGGCAATTTCCGCTCTTTCAATTCTTCGATATTTTGCCGAAAGAATTGCCGGCAGGATCCGTCTGGGCCTAACACCCACATACTTGTGCACACACACACACAGACACGAGCACAATGAGAATGTGAGGGAGAGGTAGAGAGAGAGAGAGAGAGAGAGAGAGAGAGAGAGAGAGAGAGAGAGAGAGAGAGAGAAGAGGGGGGGGGGGAGAAGAGAGAAGAGGAAGAAACAGTGCTTCGATAGGGTAGCTTGGTCTTCGTTTCTCCTTCAAGCAGTAACATGGATCAGAGAGCACTTTCGACGCGCTCTCAAAAACGTGTCCAATCCTGTTCGTTCCTGAACACACTTGCAACCATGAAACGTGGAGTGCAGTCCACAGCCAAATGAACCTGCGTTCATTTTTCAGGTGCAGTGTCAAAAGAGTCCATTCAGGACCATGTGTTGTACATGTGGTCGATTCAGGATGGTGACAGCCCCGTCGTGCGCGCCCTCATGTCACAGACTGAGAACCTAGCTCTGATCGAGGGAGTTCTCTACCGCGAAACACTGCCATCGCTAGCACGGCAATTAGTAGTTCCGGCAGTTTTACACACCAAATTTCTAAATGAGGCGCACGCCGGCCGCACTTCTGGCCATTTTGGCCAGGATCGTACATTAGCCCGTTTAAGATCGGTAGCATATTGGCCGGGGATGTCCGTAGATGTGGCCCTCTATTGCAAAAAGCTGTACGACTTGCGAGCGCGGTAAAGATCCGCCCAGGGCTGTGAAAGCCCCGCTTGGTACTATTTGCGTAGGTGCCCCATTTGAAGTTATGGCGATGGACATCATGGGACCCCTTCCCCTCACGGCTCGTGGTAATAAGTATGTATTAGTGGTTGCAGACTATTTTTCTAAGTGGGTAGAAATTATTCCCCTCCCGGATATGAAGGCCGAGACCGTAGCAGACCGTTTGGTTGACCGGGTATTTTTGAAGTTTGGAGTCCCCTGTCAATTACATTCGGACCAGGGCCCTAATTTTGAGAGCCGCCTCATCTCCTCTTTATGTAAATTGTTGGGGGTTTGTAAGTCCCGCACCACCCCTTACCGGCCACAGTCAGATGGTCTTGTCGAGAGGGCAAACCGCACGATTCAGGTGGCCCTCCGGGCCTATGTCGCAGACGACCAAACATCCTGGGACCGCCACCTTCCTCTGGTACAATTTGCTTACAATACGGGTGTCCACCGTGCTACGGGATTCACCCCTCATTTTGTGCTATTTGGGAGGGAGGCCCGTTTACCCCTTGATCTTTTTCTCCCTGCCCCGGGGGTCCCTCAAGTTACTCCTCTGCCCGCATATATCACAAATTTGCGGTCATCTTTGGCTAGGGCGTTTGGTGTAGTCCGGGATCGCCTGGGAGTGGCACATCGGGTGGCTAAATCTACTTATGATAGGCGGGTGAAATCCCCCAGTTTTCAACCAGGTGACTATGTCTGGCTCCATGCAGTTCCGCCCCCGGGTGTCAGCCCTAAGCTATTTCGCCCCTGGACTGGGCCATGGCAGGTAGAAGTAATTAAGGGAGTGGTGTGTTCCATTGTACGGGTGGGACCCCCTCCTTCGGCCCGCCATGCTAAGCATTTAACAGTGCACACCGATCGGTTACGGGCTGTCCATGGTAAGGTAGTGGTTCCCCCAGGGGTACAGCAGGGAGTGTCTCCGCCTGAAATTACGGCGATGCCATCTATGGGGGGTCCAGCCATGTTTTTGCCCGCCCCGTTTGGTGCACCCCACCCTGTGGCTCCGGCTCCCGTTCTGGTTCAGCCCCCGGGTTCGGTCCCCACCCCTCCTCCTTCACCCCCGGGTTCCCCTCCGGGTACGCCCCCGTCTCCTCCGTCCCCGCCCCGGCCTGGTACACCCCGACCCAGACGTTCATGTGTGTTGTCGCCTGGGGGTTACCTCGCCTTAGAGGCAGGACAGGGTCAGCTTCCGTGGAAGGGGTGGTGATTGCTTGAGGCTGCGTGCTCCAGTTGTTTCGGTTGTTTTTGTCACTTTTTTTTTTGCTCGTTCTAGTTATCGCGCCGCCGCGGCCCCGACTTCTGTCTATTTCGCCATGACGGGGTCGGAGTGCTCTCTACCGGTTGCTCCGTTGCCTCCCCCGCTCTGTCCACCGGCACCTCCAGCACTCCCGTTGCTTCGCCGTGTGCGCCGTCGGTCTCGCCGCTCGAGACAGCGCCGCAGAGTCCGCCGGGCAGCGCAGCAAACAGCACCATGCATGTCACCTGATTCACTGTCAGCACTATCCGCACCCTCTTCACCTGCACCGCGCCGGCTACGCCTCCTGTCCTGGAGGACTTATCCGATGTTGTTCCTTTGGTGGACATTTATTGCTATAACGATCTCGCGTAAGCTGCATTTTTCTCTTGCATGTGTAATTTTGTTTGTCTCGACTGTTGGGTGGGTGGCGTACTAGGTTGGTGCTGTTCAAATAATAAAGATCCAAAGGGACAACTACAGGTCGAACAGCTCGCCAGCCGGGGTCCTCTGCAAAATCTGTTGCTTGCAGGTTCCATTTGATTGATGCACAGTTTTGCGGGGCTCCCGACTGGTGTTAACCCTCCTGGCCTACTCGTCATGCGTTCAACAGTCGTGACCCCACTTCTTTTGTGTTTTATTGTCGCCTATTTATGTTGTTTCACATTTCATTTCCCCGGTCTTTCTGTCTTCTTCTCCGGTCTGTCTTCTCCTGTTTTTTTTTTATATATACACTTCCATCCACAGGAGTGGATGTCTTTTTTCGGTTGGGGATAGTGTTGTACATGTGGTCGCGCTTGTAGCTCTGTGTCGTACATGCGGCTGCGCGGGTGTCTCTTGTCGTACATGTGGCTGCGCTTGTGTCTCTTTTGTCGCACACGTGGCTGCGTATGTGTCTCTGTGTCGTACATGCTGCTGACCCGTGGTACACGCCGCTGCGCTGTCTTGGAATGCTTTGTACATGCCGCTGCACCGTCTTCTGTCCCCTCCGTATGCATTATTTCTAATCTCGTCCCCGTTGCATACACATTTTCTCGTCTTGTCTCCGTTGTATTTGTCTGGTTGCCGTCTTGTGTCCGTCGTATTTCCCCGTCGTTCGTCTTTGTCTCCCGTCCTGTTCAGGCCTTGTTGTACTTTGCACAGGCACCTCTTTAGTATCCCTCACCCCACTTTTTCCCCTCTTTTCTCCACGTCCCCATAATATATTCTCTTGTCCGTTTTGTTGGAGCGCAGTTCTCCCCTCTTTTCTCCACGTCCCCATAATATATTCTCTTGTCCGTTTTGTTGGAGCGCAGTTCTCCAGTCGCCTTACTGAAAGCAAGTTAGAGAAAACGCTCTCTCTCCCAGTGTGCACGAGTCTTTTGTTGTTGTGTGGAGTGGCGAGGAGAGCCACAGTTCGTCGGATTAAACTGACGACACATGGGAAATCATCCAAAATTCAAGAAAGAGCTTCGAACAAGTTTTGATTTCCTTCATCGCAATCGCTAGTTACGGGTCAAACATCGTCCTTGGGACAAGATAAAAGTGATACAGTCAACTTTGCGTATACCGACACTCGGCGGCGGAGCATCAGAAAAGTGTCCTTATTCCCGAAGTGTCCTTATACCCCAAGTTTCATAATGTATACACTTAGATGGGACTTTGCTCTGGGCATGGAAATTCTGTCATTATTCGCGAATTGTCGTTATATCCGCAGACGTTATTAGCGAAGTTGACTGTAGATTGTCAAATTGGATACAGTCATTTTCACTAGTCACAATGCAGTTGTTTGAATGTGAGACCGCCCGTGCCTGGCAACGTGGTCGGTAGTACCAGGTTAGTCCAGTCTAGGCTAGTCGCTAGTTACGGTGGTCGTTAGTTGCAGGGTTTTTACCGTAGTAAAAAAAATGAATTACACGTAGACACAAAAGTCAAAACTACAAAGACATTACGGTAAAACGGCCGATTTTAGCGTGAAATTTTGTTAGTGACTTTAGCCAGTGGTTGTGAGACTTACCCACTCACCCCCACCGTTAGGCGCTGCATCTGCCGCTAGGGTTTATCGGGTGTTAGCGGCCGTCGTGAGTTCCCTTCGGGAACGGATACGATAATTTACTTTTTTTTTTTTTTGGGAAAGGAGTGTTTTTGCTAAACTTTTGCCGTGCCGATCGAAATCTTACATGTACAGCAGCACAGTACTACAGTCCATTCATCGGAATCTGGCCCGCTGGCTTTTGAAAGTCGGATTTGGGCCGAATTGAGGATCAAAAACCCACTTTAAATCTCAAAAATCTGGGTTTTGGATCTGCTTCTCCATACATTTTGCCATGGCATACCTGTCCTAATTTTGTAAAACCTGGCTGAATTTTATTTCCCTGTTCTTGGACTTTTCTGGCCTCAAATGTGGCGAGGAGTAATTGCACGGGTCACACAATGCAGGATGTACTGTTGTTTTCACGATATCTACAATTATGTGCGAGAGACACCAAAAGTTAGGGTGCCAGTTTCCAATGAATGGACTGTAGTCACCTTCTTTTTTGAACTCTGAAACTCGGATTGCTGAAATTATTTCGTCTCGTATTGGTCCTGATTCAGAAAGCGCCAACAAATCACCCGCTAAAATTAGCAGTTCTACAAGTACAGTATTCAATAGTTGAAGGGAGTGGAAATGACTATGTCTGGAGTAGGACATTGACTGACAAGCAATTCTGATATTTCACTTACTTTGTCAGTAACTGGGAACAAAGCAACGCAGCGCATTGAACTGCTGCCGCTGCCGCTAACAGCAGCGTGACCCACTCCACCGGCACGGCCATGCCGGGGGCGCAAAGACGCAGCGTTGTATGCAGGTTGATGATGGGAGTGTAAGGGATGCTGCTGCTGCTGCTGCTGTTGTTGCTGGTACTGCTGCTGGTACTGCTGCTGCTGTTGCTGGTGCTGCTGCTGCTGCTGGTACTGCAGGTGCTGCTGGTGGTGGTGCTGGTGTTGCTGCGAAGAATGATAATGTTGTTGCTGTTGCTGCTGTTGGTACTGATAATGCTGATGGTGTTGCTGCGGGGGGAGTATCTCCTGCTGCCATGGCTTGGACAGGTGCTGTGCAGAACTCCCTGTTGGCATCCAAGCATGGAACTCCGCTAGGACGGGGTCATACTGCAGAACGTCGGAATACCAGCCTGGGAGCACTTCGACGTGCTTCAATCTCCGGCGCAGGATACCCTGGAGTAATGCATGACAATGGAACACAGCGCATAAACCAGGACTCCACAGGGTGTGCGGCGAGTGTGTAGACTGCTAGCTGAGCTGTGGCTCACTCCTCCGTTGCCATGTGATGCCTAGTGGCTCTAGTGCATTCAACCAAATCTTGCAGCCTAACTTTTCGCTGTCTTGCACGTACAGTTGTAGATATCGTGAAAACAACATACATCCTGCATTGTGTGAACCGTGCAATTTTTCATTGCCCCATTTGACGTCGGGAAAATTTAAGGATATGGAGTTTAACAAAATCTAGATTTTAGGGGTCATCCGTATTTTTCGAAAAATTAAAAAATCCGTCCACAAGCAAAAAGAGGGTGGGTGGTCAAGAGCGCTCGCTAGCTGGCGGAATTTAATTTTTTGATTTTCGGCACCTTTTTTTTTTCTTTTCTTTTTTACTTCAGTGACTTTCATACGCTTGTTGCACTGACTGTCATGTGTAAAGTACTGTAGTATATAGGGTCGATTGTCACAAACTGTTGTGTATGCAAGTTAGTCATAATATATCTACTACACCGTTTGCTACTGTATTGCGCATGCTCGCATATTGTGGTTGTTGTTGTTGTTACTTTACCTCAGTCCTGACCAAGAGTAATGTCTTCCCGAAATGCTAGTGTTTGTGGCGTGCCAGAGAGAATGCATGAATGTAATGGTATGTTAGTCTGCAAGGGGACATAACACAAACACCAGTATGATGTAGTGTCTGCTAGAATCCGTGCTGCACTCGCGCGCGCGCGCGCGAAAATCAGCAGTCGGATTTCAGTTGCCACATGCATAGTACTTGTCACACAAGTGAAGTCAGTGAACACGGGGTGAGTTCTTATTTGCGAGCTGGGCATTGGGAAAAATCAAAAAATTTATGGGAAAATACGGGGGTGGGCGGGCGGGTAGGTCAGAGACAATTTTGCACGAGGACGGATTTTTTAATTTTTCGAAAACTACAGCCGATCCCTTATGTAGATTCTTCCTCCCCCTCCTCCTCCTCCTCCTCCCCTCCAAGAAGCTAGTGTGATCAAGACATTTGGTCCAGTGGAAGAAAAGAACAAAAACAAAAGAAAAACAGAGAGGGTCATGGAAACTTGGTAAACACAGAGTAACACCAAAAAGAAAACAACAACAGAACAAAGCAAACAAAGCAGGGAATATTTAATGGAAACAAGGAAAACGGTGGGGAACAAGTTATGCGTTAGAGTCAACCAACTAAACCAGGTTCTGAACAGTCAGACATGCACAAGGTCTGGCGCTACCTTGTGCACGTCTGACTGTTCAAAACCTGGTTTAGTTGGTGGTCTCTAACGCATAGTTTGTGCCCCACCGTTTTCCCTGTTTCCAGTTAATATTTTCCTTGGCTCGCCATCTGATTACTAAACGCAGGAAATCATACCTTTAGCAGTGCCGAGGCATGGGCTGACGGAACTTGCACGTCTTTAGCCCCTCGCCGTTTCCTCTCGGCGAAGCTCACCTGATCGGACAGTATTCGCTTGGCTTGTGCAAGAACTATCCAAACCACAAAGAACAGTTCATCCATGAGTCTGTGATTTGCATTTGCAAAGAACAACGCTAGGAAGAGCAACCCAAGATGGAGTCGGAAAACAGACGTAAGCAAATAGCAAAGCTGTATGTTGCCTGCGCTATCTATTGCCTTTTTAAAATTGAGTGTTTATGTGTGTGTGTGTGTGTGTGTGTGTGTGTGTGTGTGTGCTTGTGTGTGTGTGTGTGTTTGTGTGTGTTTGTGCGCGAGTGCATGTGCGCAGCTGTGGGGTAGCTCATGCTTGTGCGGAAAAGCTCAAACATGAGAAAGTGAGAGGAGTGAAAGGGTGGAATGTCAGTGAACGTCAGTGGGTAGTGTATATGGTACATGGTGGGGCAGGGCATAGATTAACGGCCGGACATCGGACATCGGACATTTTCCGGCCATTTTCGGCCACTGACTGGACCTTTTCAATTTCACCGGACATAGTGCCCGGTCAAAAAAGTAAAAAAAGAGCAGCGACCTTTCGACCTTTTTATGCAGAGTTGGGCTTTCTTCGGAGCTTCGTGCCAAATGCGACTTGCATATCGTACAACTAACACGTACACCGTAGTCTCAGGCGTAGACTTCACTATTTACTTGATCCGCCTGTAGCAACGCGTTGTTGCTACAGTCAATTCACACACGTCCGGGCATGTCCGGAGAGATTTCAAAACGGAAGGACATTTGTCCGAGCTAAATGAAATCCTTACGCTATGCCCTGGTGGAGGGGGGTGGGGGGGGGGGGGTGGTATCGTATGTGTACATGGTGCCTGGTGGGGGGGGGGGCAGACCTATTCACACGGTAGTGGAGGGCAGCACTGCACTAGGCTTAGTTACAAATACTGAAATAGTAATTACCTGAACTAGTCATAGCTGTAGGCCCAACCATGGGAGTAGTCTGACAGCCGTCCACGCCCAGCAGCTGCTCGATTGCTTCAAGACTATCAACATCAGTGGGCTGAGACTGGGACGGGGCTGGCAAAGACAGCGTTCCTGCTGGCTTACGACCAGTGCTCTGCATAGTACTGGAGGCAGTGCTCTGTGTAATGCCAGTGCCTTGCATACTGGCAGTGCCTGTATAGCTGGGAGTTCTCTGCACTGTGTTGCTGGCAATGCTCAGCGTACCGGCAGCGCTCAGCCTTGTACTGGCAGTGTCTGTGTTGCTGGCTACGCTATGCGTACTGGCAATACTCTGTGTACTTCCAGTGCTCTGTGTTGTACGGGTAGCGCTCTGCGTTCTACTGGCAGTGTCTGTGTGGGTGGCTGCGGTACGCGCCGGTCCAGAGAGAATGCGCATGACATCATCATACATAAAGTTATCCACCGTGTCGTCGATGTCGTTGTGCCCTCGTTTCCAGTCCTTTTCTTTCCCTCCTCCATGCTGCCGCTGCTCCAGTGAGTCGGGGTCGAGTAGCAGCTCGCTAGACCGTATCCAGTCCAGTGAACTTACAGTGTTGCTGCGCTCGCTCAGCACCTTCCCCACCAGTAGCGACGCTCTGTTCGCGGCCGTGTTGCCGTCGGTTGCGCTGCTGTCGTTGCCATTGGTGACGACGGGTTGTGACGATGCAGCACTGGCGGCGTTGAGGCTCGCCCGCTCAGGTTGCTCCGGACGATGGCGGAATATGGAGGTGACGAATTTCACGAGACGTCCGGCTCCACTCTGGTCGCCTGGCCGGGATTTGTTGATTGCGACTGAGCTCCGTTGTTGAGACCGTGTATTGGCAGCGGAAAACGCTCGAGATGTGGCATCGCCGCTGGAAGCTGTTGCCGACGACCCTAAACCCGCCTGCCACTCGCCAACGGTGCAACTGGCGTCGAGTGCTGTGGTTGCGATCCAAAACTCTTCCTGTCGGCGCGTCAATGGTGGCTCCTGTGGCCGTGCTGTATCGGATGCATCGGAGCAAAGCGTCTCGGCCATTCCTGCAACTTGCCGACATGCCGCGGCAAGTTTCTGAAACGTGTCAGCGCCTGGCGTGCCAGCTGCTGCTGGACCACAACCCGTTTCTGTTGTCGCCTTTCTGTGCGATGCAGTGGATGCAGAGGCCCACACAACCAACAGCAATTGCTGTATGAAAGTGCACAGGGCAGGGTCGGACAGCAATGCGTTGCCGGTGACGAACAGATCGCGCGTCTGGACGGCACGCGTCAGCACGGCCGGGAAATATTCTCTAGTCGTCAGCTGTGTAGCCTCGCAGTGCTGCTGCTGCTGTTGTTGGTGGTGCTCTTGCAGATCCAGCGCATGGGCGTTGAGACACAGACACACTGCAAGCTTGGTGTCGCACTGGCCCAGCTCTCCGCGGACGTACCAGTCGAGCACCATGCACAGCGCGTCGGAGAACACGCCGGGCATCTGGCACATCGTCCGCACCAGCTTGCTCAGCGGCCGTCGATGCAGTGCATCGCGCCACTCGTTGCCGTTCTCGGTTAAATGCTCGGCAACGGAGCGTGCCAACTCGGGAGAGGCAATCGACGCTTCCACGATAAGAGTGCTGGCGAGGTCGGCCACGTCCTCAGGAGAGAAGAGAGGAAAGGAAACCTGACCGAGGTTTCGCAAGGCGTCCGACAACGCCTGGCGATACCATTGCGGCATCGGGGAGAGATTCCTAGCCAGATACACGGCGATTTGAAGATCTGTTGCTGTTGCACGGTCAATACGTTTGCTTGTGATGGCAGCTTCTGTGCTGCTGCTGCTGCTGCTGTCATCCCCTGTACCCTGGTGGAATTAGAAAAGAAACACATACGAAACATCGATCTCAGGGGCATTGGAAGCTATTCTAGCTATTCTACATGGGCAAGGCTACGACAAGCTGGGGAGGGGGTCCGGGGTCCTCCCCAGGAAACGTTTTGGAAAATTGGGGCCAAATAGCCCATATTTCATTGATTCCAAAATCACGTTTGAAAATTGTTGATGCAGGCTTTGCACATGCATTTTGTTCCACCTACACTTGTTTAAAGGGGAAGTGCATCGATTTTTCGAGTAGGGTCCAGAAGAAAGACAATTTGATATCGGTTCGAATGGCATATCTCTCGCTTCCATGCGATAAGCCAAACTTGCCAAATCGCCAATTGCATGCTCACGTTGCCATAGCGACCAGCGCAGTGATGACGTACGAAAGGCTTAGCTCCTCCACAGAGAAGGTCGATCACTGCAGAAATTGGTCATTTTTCAATTGTCTTCTTGTATTCACGATGTGAAAGAAGTGCTGTGTTCAATGCTGTTAGTGCCGTGAACTATTTATCGCCCTTCTCATGCATTTCCGACCTGGGCTGACTGTGCCTAGAAATGGTTTCCTCCAGGACAAGATGCTTGGAATTCGCCATCTCTCCTGAGACATTTTCAGCAAACTTTCAAACCTACGACATTATTTCATTCATCAATCTCCACCATCCGTCGTCTCATCTGGCTTCAGAAGATGTTACGAGAGATAGGACAGTCGCCAGGAAGCAACACATTCATCTTCAGGAAGTGGAAAGAGCAAACAGCATGGTCCTTGGTTGGGGGAAATGCTGAACGTCTGATTTGTCCCAACCAAGATTTCAGCATTTTGCTCGTCACTATTTTCGCTTGTCTGCTGGTGTCTCCGCACTCCAGCTTTCTCCTGTCGGTGTCACGTCCCAGTACACAACCGAGAGGACTACTAACAAACAGTTCACTGTACTAACAGCATTGAACACAGCCCTTCTTTCACTTCGTGAATACAATAAACCAATTGAAAATGACCAAATTCTGCAGTGATCGACCTTCTCTGTGGAGGAGCTGAGCCTTTCGTACGTCATCACTGCGCTGGTCGCTATGGCAACGTGAGAGTACAATTGGCGATTTGGCAAGTTTGGCTTATCGCATGGAAGTGAGAGATATGCCATTCGAACCGATATCAAATTGTCTTTCTTCTTGACCATACTCGAAAAATCGATGCACTTCCCCTTTAACCCTTTACCGGTCTACCATAAGCGTACCGATACTATAGTATCGGTACGTTTGGCCCTCATTTGTTTGGGGTCTTGTTGCTAGGAGACAGCTAAAATGGCGCTCTACGCGTAGCTGAGGTCCAAGGCTTTCTGACGATGTGCAAAACAACCATGCTTACCATACAAATTTTTGCCGTATGGATCGACTGAAGTTTGTTGAAATTGGAAAAGACGACCATCCGCCATGCGCGCATTTCAAGAATGCGAGTGCATCTCTTGGGGCCGTGTTTGCCAAGCGTTCTGAGAGCAGTAACATCACCAGTCGAGGCTGGATCTCCCGGGAGGTTTTGCAGTGTAGTGTGTTCAGAAAAAGAGCTCCGTTGAGTCCTGCTAGTTCAAAAATATATCGTCCACGAATGAAGAAACAAAATTCTCCAAACAGAGAGGAAGCCTTCTTGCTGCCGACACGGCGACAGCGACTGTCACAAGGACTCGTCAGGTGCGATCAGCTGATTCGCCTGGCCGTAAGAATCACGGCATGCGTAAGCTCGCGCCTGAGTACTCATCTGAGCGAGAGTGAATCTGACGCGAGCAGCGCTGAGATGAACAAACCGAAACTGCGATATCGTGGAATGGGAATTGCTGCTGCTGGCGTGTCGCCGATGGCGAGGTGTTGGTGTTCAATGGCGGTATTGTAGAGAGCCTACATTTCTTGTAAAGACGTAGCCCTTACCTGATTGTTTATCGTACGACTTCAGCTCCATCACGAACTTGGTATGCCCTTCGTGCTGTGATATTTGTGTATTTCATTCGCAATTGTATTTTCTCTCAGCTTGAAGGGCTACCATGGGCCCTATCCTTGCCTGGACCTAGTCATATTTGAATTTTCTGGACGCGTTCAGGCATACAGATTTTGAAAATATATGGTTTACCCATACCTACATCACCATCATGGTTCTTGAGTTATTGCTGGTTGTGTGTACATGTATTTGCCTGACCACCCCTCACATACATTGAGTTAGACCGGCAAAGGGTTAAGACCTTGATCATCTTTGTTTACCGTTCAGTGATGTAACCTGACTGAAGACTATCACGAGAAAACGTTCTCAGAGAAACCAAACCGTTCCATTAATGATGTGTGTGATATGCCTGTTCATAAGGACTGTGCATTTTGTACTATTTTTAATCATTATTTTATTTATTCAGAATCACGTGGCGCTAGCCAATGAAAAGGTATTTGTTGCGATCTTTTAAACTACTGGTGCGCTTTAGCTGCACCTGCCGCTCCGCTCCCACCCAAGACCGTCACATGCATGCTCTTACCTTTTGAGCATCCAAAGAGCTGCTCAGAACTCCGACTAGATTGCATGTCGATAGCAGGCGCTCCGCCACTCCCAGGCAAAGCGTTTGAGCATGGGCTGTGCCGCGAAGCCGCCGGTGCAGTGTTTCCAGGACCTGAGGTGGAATAGAACAACGATGACGACGACGACAACGACAACAACAACACAACAGCAACAGCTGATCGTTGTCTCCATTCCTTGTTTGACATCCCTGTTTGAATAACGTTATGTACACGCTTCTCTGCATGCTTCTCTGCATGAGAATTGCCATTTGGCACCTGACAGCGATGCCTGGCAGTCACACTGTGCATCTACTGCTTACACAGCTGCATAATGCCATTATTATTTTTTATTTTGAAACTCGGATGTTGAGCCATAAATAAATGTAGAAAAGAAAAGGACATATGGATACGAGTTAAGAGTAACTCTCCATCACTGTAACTGGATACTATATACAGTTAGAAAGTGCAATAACTAGGCACAAAACTGACTGGCACTTTCTGACTGTATATAGTATCCAGTTACAGTGATGGAGAGTTACTCTTAACTCGTATCCATATGTCCTTTTCTTTTCTACATTTTTTTATTTTACTATTATTATTTTTTCGGCAACGCAGATGATGATGATGATGATGATGATGACACGCTTGCTTGATTGTTAATCAGGTACAGAAGTAAAAGCTGTCAAGGTGACCACTCGGATAACGCGACCAACTGTCCAAGGGGACCACTACCAGCAGGACCAAGGGTTGTCAATTTCAGTCTAATGACCCTGGATAAGGAGACCACCTGTACACAGCGACCACGTTTTGAAGGTCCCCTAGCGGTCGCCTTGGACAGGTTACACAGCATATTTAAAAAAAATGCCAGCATATCACAAGACGGAAGACACACTTGTACGCATAACAGCGTTCCTGACAACAACTCGAGACCAGTTGGCAGTGTGTGGTTGCAGTCATGAACACTGCAATATATACAGTGTGCCATATGCATTGTGCTATGTTGGTATCATCCTGCATGCACCGTGTTTCCCGGAGTATAAGCCACCCTTCACCCTAAAATCAAAACTTCACAACCTGTAGCGAAAAATGCACTGATTCCAATGGTGAAGGTCCGAGGTTGACCGGAGCAGCCGTTCCCGAGTTAGCCTAGACCGTTCTTATTTTTCATGCATTACAGTCTGTGCTGCACAGCTGAGTCAGCGTGTATACATTGGTACTACGCTGTGTGTTTAGTGACATTCTAGGCTATCCGTTCTTCAGCAGCACTCCGTCGTTCTCAGTTCTTCGGCACACGCACAGGACTGCATTGCGGCTACAGTGGTCCCTGTATAATCCAGCACTGCTGGATTAGGGAGGGTGCTGGATTAAGGAGGGTGCTGGATTAGGGAGGGTGTTGAATTAGGGAGGGCGCTGGATACGGGAGGGTGCTGGATTAGGGAGGTTGCTGGATTAGGGAGGGTGCTGGATTAGGGAGGTTGCTGGATTAGGGAGGGTGCTGGATTAGGGAGGGTGCTGGGCTAGGGAAGGTGCTGGATTAGGAAGGGTGCTGGATTAGGGAGGGTGCTGGATTAGGGAGGGTGCTGGATTAGGGAGGGTGCTGGATTAGGGAGGGTGCTGGATTAGGGAGGGTGCTGGGTTAAAAATCCGATTTACTGCTGCAATGTCAACAAAGAGGACATTTTGGTAACTGAAAATTGTGCTGGTTTATAAAGTGCTGGATTAAAGGGGAAGTTAAGGCAAAAATCAAAATTTCACTAGTTGTAGTCTCCGGGGTGCTGAGTCGAATGGTCGTGGTCCGAGGAAGCTGAGACGCTCCCTTCCTACTTGAATCCCAATCGAACTCGCGCACTTCCACCGAAACTGGGTGACTGCGCCCTACTAGATGGGGATTTGTATGCAAAATGTCACTAAAAGCACCATTTCGTTCTTATAAAAGCATGGATGACCGCGATTGGCCCATATGTTGTAGTCTTTTGGACGTTGAGTCGCCTGGTTTTGGTCCGAAAAGGCTGCGATGCAGCGTTCCTCCTGTCATGGCCAGCAATCGAGGACATCTGAGAGTTGTAATTTTTGTACTCCTCTAAGGTGTGATTTTTGGCGTGCTGGGCCCAGCACAAGGTCCAGGAAGCCATCTGCAAAAAAACTACAGAAAATGGTTGTTGTTTGATCCTTTGGTGTAATCTTTGTTTCTAGTCGAAGCTAGTTGCTGTTTGGAGCTGAAACGCTGAAATTGACTATTTTCTGCATGTACTCATACATGTACTCATGTACTCAGGCATGCAGTCTCACTCGTATTTTAGCTCTTTTCAGTCTGGAATGGATGCTGCTCTGCGCCCCTTGGTGAACATTTCCTGCGCTCGTGGAGCAGCTGAAAAGGACCACTGGTATGTCTGGTTCCTGGTTTGAAAGTGGAGAGTCGACTTTTGTGCCTTGAAAAAGGAGTAGAGAGCGATAGAGGTACGTCTGTCGCTTATTTTTGAGTGCTCCTCGTACATTTTTGATCGTGATAGAAATTCTCAGACCAAAGTCAGACCAAAGTCAGCGCGATGATGGCCGTACAGTTTTCTTGTGGATTTTTTAGTTGTTTCATCTCGTATCTATGTCAGTATCGTGATGGTGAAGTGGAGAGGGTGATTTTCTTCCTCTAGGCTTCGTTCGGCCGACTTTGCTTCGTCCTCGTTGAAAAGTGATCCTGAAAAAAAGGTCGATTCGAAAAATTATGTTGATTTTGAATGTACGTGATGACATGCGATTGCTGGCTATGATTCCCAATCGAACATGGTTGAACAAGCGGTCACGTGCTCTTGGGTGCCCAAATCACCTGGTCACCACGCCAGCAGGCGACAACTTTCACACCAAGGTTCAACTCGAGTTCAACTCGAGTGACAGGACTGCACCCAAAAAAGGTCAAACAGGCTAGTAAGTTGTACCCTGCAGGCACGGTGACCAGGTGACTGGTGTATGCAGGAGCACGTGACCGCTTCTTCAACCATGTTCGATTGGGAATAAAGGAGGAACGCTGCATCGCAGCCTTTTCGGACCAAAACTAATCGACTCAGCGTCCAAAAGACTACAACATATGGGCCAATCGCGGTCATCCATGCTTTTATAAGAACGAAATGGCGCTTTTAGTGACATTTTGCATACAAATCCCCATCTAGTAGGGCGCAGTCACCCAGTTTCGGTGGAAGTGCGCGAGTTCGATTGGGATTCAAGTAGGAAGGGAGCGTCTCAGCTTCCTCGGACCACGACCATTCGACTCAGCACCTCGAAGACTACAGCTGGTGAAATTTTAATTTTTGCCTCAACTTCCCCTTTAAATAGGGAGTACTCTACTACTCACCGTGAAGTTCTTCCTCGCCGCGCCGAACACACAGTCATGCAGCATTGCCAGCAAAGCATGGTGCGAGGACAGAGTCTCCACGCTGGGGACGTAGAGTGTGACCAGGTCCTGTGCGGGAGCGTCTCGCACACAGGCGGCGGCAAACGCGAAATCATGCGACGCCGTCACCTTGGCCGCGAGAACGAGGACGTGAGGCGGCAAGGAGCGTGTATCGCGAAACCTCTGCACTCTATCGGCTACATCAGCAGCTAGCGTTGGCTGGTAGCAACGAGGCGGTAGCTGAGAGACAGACTTCACAAAGCTGGCGAGCTGTTTTGGCTGAAGGGAATAGCATGAGCTGAGTACGGCCTTGCTAA